AAAAAAAAAACAAGCAACAAACAGACTGAGAGAGAAATTAGGGAAACCACACCTTTCAAAATAGCATCTAAAAAATGAAATACTTAGGACTCAACTAACGAAGTAAAACATCAGTGAAAATGATAATACTCTGAAATAAGAGATCAAAGAGGATTTCAGAAAATGGAAATATATTTCTTGCTCACAGATAGAAGAACCAACATTGTGAAAATGGCCATACTCCAAAAACTGTTGTACAGATTCAATGCAACCCCAATCAAAATACCATTAGTATACCTCATAGATCTAGAGAAAGCATTCCTAAAATTTATCTGGAGCCAGAAGAGGCCTAGAATAGAAAAAGCAATCTTGGGCAACAAAGGAAAGGCAGGAGGTATCACAGTCCCTGACTTGAAATTATACTATAAAGCTACTGTGATAAAATCAGCATGGTACTGGCAAAAAAACATACCTGAAGATCAATCAAACACATTAGAAGATGCAGACAGAGCTATGAACACACCCAGCCACCTTATCTTTGACAAAGGATCCAAACATGTTAACTGGAAGAAAGCTAGCTTCTTTAATAAATGGTGCTAGAAAAACTGGCTTTCCACATGCCAAAGACTAAAACAACCCCATGTCTATCACCATGCACTAAACTAAAGTCAAAATGGATCAAAGATCTAAATATTAAAACAGAAACAATAAATCCACTGGAAGAGAAAGTAGGTAGAAATCTTGAAGACTTAGAGGTAGGCAGGCAGTTCATGAACAAAAACCAAACTACACGTGAAATACTTCAAAGAATCAAGAAATGGTATCTCATCTTACTGAAAAGTTTTTGCACATCAAAAGAAATCACCAACAGAGTAAACAGAAAACCCATGAATTGGGAAAAAATTTTAGCCAACTGTGCCTCAGACAAAGAGCTTCTATCTAGAATATATAAAGGATTTTTAAAAATCAGGCCCCCACAGTTCAAAGACCCAATGCAAAAATGGGCATCTGAGATGCATATGCACTTCTGAGATGAATAAATACTAATGGTGAATAAATATATGAAAAAACGTTCAACATCATTTATCATTCAAGAAATGCAAATTAAAGCAACACTGAGATTTCATCTCACCCCACAAAGAGTGGCTATCATTAAGAAATCAACCAATGACAAATGCTGGAGAGGCTGTGGGG